AGAAATTATTTTTTTCTGTCAGTTGACAGTATTTTCTGAATGATAAAATGAGAAATCCAAAATCCCTTAAAACATTTCAATCGAATATGTCAACAAAAGGAAACTTTGAACCTGGCTTTATCAAATTTTTAGAAATATATGCAAATCACTGCATATTTAATTAGACTATGCCTAATTTGCATATTTAAAACAACATTTCAAAAATCTTTGCATATTTATCAATCAACCAAAACAGATAAAGCAGATAAAAAATAGATACCATAGATACAAAATATCAAACCAAGTGGTTTGTATTTTAAAGAACAAATCATTTGTGATTTTGTTGGGGTTCGTTTGCCAGGATGTTAAGTGTTCTGAGTAGCTTTGGGTAATTTTTTCTTAATGTCTCCAATCCCCACCACCAAGCCTCATTTATAAAACATGTGTACGCTGCGCACAGATTTGATTTTAGATTGTGTGTACTCTAACATCCAACGGCAGCGATCAGATTTATAAAAACATTCTTTGATGTGGAAAAGTGCTTAGCACTTTACCTTGTGGCAGAGTGAGAGGACTGCAGGTATTTATAAGTCTAAGCAGAAATAATAATATTTAAACACAACATTAAAGTTAAATTATTTAGCATACATGTTTATATTTTTTCAGACAATCTATGGGCTGTAAAATGGCCTAAAAATATAATGCAGAAATAGATTTCACATCTGTAAGAGTTTTTTTGTGCACATTTGCGAAATGATCTTAGATAAAATGACTGTTTCTATGAAACTTTTATAAACAAGGCTCTTAGTCTCTATAAATGCCTCATGTCCCTCCTTCAATCAATGTAAGTGTATTTGTTCACCTGGTTTATCATCCAACACGTAATGCAGACATTTAGTGTCCGAATGCATTTTGAGGTTAATGTACATTATCCTGGGTGTATTTATGATTAGAGCCAAACAACAAACCAGAGCTACCACTGTCCAGAAGAGCAATGACAGTCATCTGTACTAATTGGATAACAGCGCTGTTTGCAGGGGACTACAGGATCCTGTTTACATGAAGCTCGTTGCACAAGACTGCAGTTGTCCTGCAACGCTTGGAAAACAGGAAGTTTTATAGGGCGCTAAACTCAGATAATCTTGTTTGCATTCCCAAACCAATTCATTAGGTAAACTATTGCTGTAGAACACAAAGAGAAACTCAGCACCATTGTAGTAAAATCCTGTGCAAGTTCCTTCAGACTATATGATGATAAAACTAACAATAACTGAACTAAATGTTTATTTGCACACAAAGAAATGTATGCATTTCATCAAATAAAATCTCAGAGCGAAAGTCAAAAACTTGTCCTGGCAGAGGAACCACAGATGATGTTTTGTTTTGATATTTTTTGCACAATGCAAGTCAAGTCATTTGTGTTTGTATAGTACTTTTCACAATGCACGTTGTTGCAAATCAGCTGTACAAAATTGAGCCAGACCGATATATCGGCCGGCCGATATCAGGCATTTTCCATAATATCGGTATCGGCAGTTATAATGACCGATAAATGAATATTTAAAAAATTTAATTAAAATGGAAAAAACACGCTTCAATCACATCACCTTGGCCTGTTATATTGAAAATGTATGTTTTACAATTTGCAGTATGATGTTATCTATTGCTAAATTATGGCTCATCATAGACTAGCTAACCACAAAGCTAGCTAATGCCACTATCATCAGTGGAAGACCGCTAACGTTAATGAGCTTGGAAACCACAACGAACTTTTTCTGCCTGAATAAAGTAACGATTACTGTATTTATAACTCGCATATCTCTAGTTACAGTCCCTGCATTGTAAAATGTAAGTTACACTTGCGAGGAGTGAACATTTAGACATAGAGAAAAAGTATCAAACGTATCTTGTGCATTAAAAGTTAGCATTTCTTTTACACGTGTGTGAAATCCAACAATATTTAATAAAAAAAAATATATCGGCCGATGTATCGGAATATCGGATTTTAAAACCCAAAAATATTTGTATCGGTATCGGCCTTCAATATCCTTTATCGTTCGGACTCTAGTACAGAATATCATGATTTTAATCATTTTAATATCTCAAAATCCTCAGAACCCTTGTCACCTCAGTCTTCAGCCATCCGTCTTCATCCATGTGACGTTTGAATACTTGCCATATCTCCGTTTGCTTCTGCAATCCTGTTAAGAAACATTGTTACACTAACCACTCCTGTTCCATCCGTGACAATATCGCCCTATACAAATGTGCTATATGAATGAGGATAAAGTCGTACTTGTATTTAACTTTTAACTATATAGGGCTGTGCATTTTCTTTTTTTGCAAAAATTTATACAATCACACAGCCGAGATTTGCTATTTATATATTGATTTATGTTAGTCTACGGTTTGTTTGCAGGTAAAGTACAATATAATCCAACTATTTTATAGTTTACATTTTTCAATGCAATGTAGACATTTTAGACGGTCCGAATACTTGTTTTTTTGGATGCTTTATAAATGTAATTTTTAAAATAAAGGCTGAAGGATTTTGTTCAGCCAGAAACAAATTTAAGGAGATCTCGTTTAATCCAACAGCCCATATCCGTAGAACTGGACACCTTCTTATTCTGCCAAAATGTGGTTAAAAGCACCAGGGTTATATGATCATAGTGTGCACATGACCGACGATGCGTAGTTAATGAAAGGCCTTTTTGTGCGAAGAGATCATTAAAACCAACAGATGGAGAAGCGAAGGGATTTTAAACTCCATCCAGGGAGGTTCAGCTGTACAAACCTTTGTCAAATGGTCACATATCTCACATGTGCTTGACCAGAGCGGTTGTCCATTACAGAGACGTTTCAGACTCTCAGACGTCTAAATGGTCAGCTTATACAAGGATCTGTGCCTCGGCTTTCCAAATTCCAGCTCTGAATTGCGCTTGAAGACACTTTCCATGTGATTAGGACTGAAAAGATTCCTTGTCCCCTCAGAATAAACCCACAGAGTTTGCCTAACAGACATAATCATAGAACGAGACTTTCCATTGAAAGGCCTGTACTTTATTAAATGACAGCGTTGGCATCTGAATGAGGTGAACAAATGCTGAAAATGGGTGTGTAAGAAGTAAATTACATTAGTTTTCTTAATACCTGACCAGGAAACATGTACTCTGCAAATAGTGAATAACTGAGGTCCTAAACGTCAGAGAACACTGAAAAAGTTGGGTTTTTTTTTTCCCCATTACTCAGACTTTTATCAATGTACACTATTCAAAAAAGTTCAGGGTCAGTAAGAATTTGTCATGTTTTTGTAAGAATTGTCTTCATCAAAGACTGGATTTATTTGATCAAAAATCATTACAGTTAAAATAATTGTTTTCTATACACACACCGGCCACTTTATTCGGTACACCTGTTTAAAGCTGTAGTCCGTAGTAGCTTTTTGGGGGTTAAAAATGATCCAAAATACATATTTGGGCAAGTACATAACCAGCCAGTGTTCAACGCTCTCTGCTTGCCGTAGTTCGATTCAAAGCGGTAAGCCTGTAATAATGTTTTTAATTCTAGTGGTACTGGTGGATTTCCCCGGGAGATTCGAGCACGTCTTTGCGTCATTACGTCACATCTGTACACACACATCTGTCCACATAAAGAACCAGAAGTCTAAGTAGAAATTTTAGAACATTAAAAATGTAACTTTTGATCAATTTAATGCATCTTAACTGAATTTAAAAAAAATCTTAACTGACACCAAAAGAGCCAGACCGATATTATCGGCCGATATTAGGCATTTTCCAAACTATCGGTATCGGCAGTTATAATGGCCGATAAAGGAATATTTAAAAAATAAAATAAAAACGGACGAAAGACGCTTGAACCATGTCATGAGTGTTGGAGTTTTATAGTTTGTCCACCAGAGGGCACTCTACAGCGTTCCTGTTGGAAACACTCGTTATACATGCATTGCTTGAATAACAATTAAAAGAACATCCCCATCAGTTCTCTTAGCTCAAATAAGCATGACAAAATTTGTGACTATCATGTCCAGGTTTTCTTCTGTTAAATAAGCCGAAAGTGAAGCGTAATTAGCTAGTAACGTTACGTTATGTTACGTTGTTACAGTGTAGTTGACTGAGTGTCCTTTTAACTTTTGACAATGTGACTGAAGTATTTCTTTAATAGCTCGTGACAGTAATAGCAATGAAACGCATCATCTCTCCTTGGCCTGTTTATATTGAAAATATAGCTAAATTGCTAAACCATTACTAAATTATGGCTCATCATAGACTAGCTAACCACAATGCTAGCTAATGCCACTATCATCAGTCTGTTCTGTTGTGACAAAAGTTTCTTTTTAAAATGGATTATCGTATTATTTTAGTTAAAACTCATAAATAACTTCAAATAACTAATGTTCGGGAAATCTGTTAATGTTTTGTTGCACGTTTCTGAAAATAAATAAATAAATAAAAAAATATCGGCCGATATATCGGATTTTAAATCCAAAATATATTTGCATTGGTATTGATATTTGGACAGAAATTTATTAAGTTGTTAAGGCAGAATATATACAACTAAATTCAATGAAATTCAATGGCACCCGGTGGCTATTTTTGGTACTACTACCTAAACAAAATCTCATGGGAACTTCAGTTTTTGGGATATCAACTTCAAATTCGGAACATAACTTGGTTAGATTTATGGCTTTGATTTTATAGTAATTTTAGAGTAAAAAATATTTTGTAAAATATATATTTTATATAAAATTCAAAATATATAATACAGTATATTTGATTTACTGTGAATTTAAACTTCTAATGTTAATGTTTTGTTGCACGTTTCTGGAAAAAAAAAAAAAAAAAAAAAAAAAAAATCGGCCGATATATCGGATTTTAAATCCAAAAAATATTTGTATCGGTATCGGCCTTCAAAATCCTTTATCCGTCGGGCTCTATTTTCAACATCAGTGTGTATATAATGGAATATTTCAATTTCAAGGCCAATAAACAACACCAAACGAGAGAGCTTGCATATTTATTCAACTACAGCTTAAGTTGCAAAATTACATGAAACACCAGTTCATCTTTAAAAAGATGATGAGGCTAGACTTGATGTTTTGTACACCAATCATACACAATTATTACAGAATAATTCAACGCTATTCACTGGCTATTTACAACACAGTTAGCATACCTAATCTATGAGAAGAAACTGTGAGGAGAGTTATTCAGATCAGAAACAAAAGGAAGAGCATGCGGTCGATACGCCGTAAGCACTAAGGAAAGACTAGAGCACGCTGGGAAGGTCCCCAGTTTAGTGGAAAAATATGTGGAAGACTAAGAAACTAAGGTGGGCTTTCCAGTTGGTCTTTGAATTAGGATTGTTAGAAGTATGTGAACTGGAAGCAAAGACAAAACTGCAAACACCGAGTGCTACTTAAACGAATAAATATAAAGCTTTTGTTTCTTTAACCCATAAAACTCATTTCCAAGAGCGGTTGATAAAAATGTCAATGAGAAAGTTGGTTTTGATGCTACATTTTTTGCCTTTAGAAAATACATCGAAGGAGCCTGTGCGCTAAACGAATGTGTGTGTTAGTACTTATTAGACATTTCCAGCTGGTGTAGGATAAATCTGACCTCAGCTGCCCTGGTGTGTGTGTGTGTGTGTGTATATAGGGATGCATATCTGTATCAGCCGATATATGTTCATTTTTAATGTCATCATTATCGGCCCGATAAGAAAATTTGTCCGATATATTAAAGCCGATAAATAATGTATAATTTCCTTCAGATGCGCACTGTTCAACATGATCACTTCAAAAAGGAAATTACAACATGTCATATCGGCTACATACGTCATAATTGTGTGTTTAATTACATAAAAATTTGGATTTCGATTTATCGGCCGATATATCGGTTATCGGCTTTCAAATATAATCGGCCAAAATGTTCGTATCGGCGCATCCCTGGGACTGAGCACAGAAAACTACAACAGCAACATCATCCTCTCTGTCTATGTGAATGCGTCCTTGATGCGTTTAAGGAATTGACTGTTTAACAAAAACATGAGATTCGCTCCGTAAGATACCCTGTGCTTTAAGTATGAGGTCTAGACTGAGTTTGCTATTGCCAGAAGTGACTAGTGCCAGGAACTGTAACTACTCCTTGATTTAAACCTTTACAATAAAGGGTAGATAGTGTTAATAATTGCAGTTTTGTGATTGCTCCGATTGTCTGAAGTTTTAGAGTTTTTCAAATAACAAAAAAAAGAAAGGTAACAAAACACCAACCCTTTAACAAATCTGTTTTTCTGTCCAATGAGAAAGCCACACGGAAACAACAAGGGG